TGTATCTGGAGCGTAATGTGTGTAGTGGTGCAGTGTGAGGGGTGCTGTAGTGTGTGTGTGTGTGTGTGTGTGTATATATATATATATATATACACATATACACATATACACACACACACACACACAGGGCCGGACTGGGAAAAAAATTAGGCCCGGGCATTTTTCAATCAGAGCGGCCCCCTAAGAAGGGGGCGGGGCCAGAGAGTGTGTGTTTTGTCATCACTAATGACAAGCATGCCCCCTCTCAAAGTGAGCATGTTGGTTCAATGCCCAGAACCCTGCTGAAGAGCTCTGGCATTAGAAAAAGGCCCTGAATTTGTTCTGCGCAGTGCAAGCAAATTTAATAACATGCTTGCGCTGTGTTTGCTTTTAAATTGTCTCTCGTGTCTCCACAAGTGGGATACCAGAGGTCAAAAGGGCCAAGAAAGTGCATGGTGCATATGTTTGGAGCCTGCTTGTGGGATTGTGTGTGTGTAGAGTGTGGTGTGGTATTGTATAAATAGGTCAATTTAATTTGTGTTTGTGGTGTTATATGTGTGGCTAGGGGCTGTAGAGAGTGTGTGTATAGGGGGCATAGTGTTATAGGGGATGCAGCGAGTGTGTGCATACAGGCTGAAGTGTGTGTGTGTATAGGTGACGTAGTGTGTGTAGGGGTTGCAGAGAGGGTGTGTTTAGAGAATGTTGTATGTGTTTGCTGACAAGGAATGTAGTGTGTGTGTGTAGGAGATCTACTGTGTAAATGACCCAGTGTGTGTGTGTGTGTGTGTGTGTAGAGGATTAAGAGTGCATATAGGGTAAGGGATCTAGTGTGTATCTGGAGCGTAATGTGTGTAGTGGTGCAGTGTGAGGGGTGCTGTAGTGTGTGTGTGTGTGTGTGTATGTATATATATATATATTTGGACTTATTGTATGTGTGAGAGGCGCAGTGTGTGTATGTAAGAGGGGTGCTGTGTGTGAGGGTGTTTTTATCTGCTGTCACATTCTAGGTTTCTAATTTTCTTTGTCCGTTAACTCACTGAGGGGTTATTTTATATATATATGTGTGTGTGCTGTATATGTGTGGGAGTGTGCTGTGTGTGTTTGGTGGGTGCTGTGTGTGTCTGGGGTGCTGTGTGTGTCTGGGTGCGCAGTGTGTGGTCTGGGGGTGCAGTGTGTGTGTCTGCTGTGTGAGTTTGGGTGCTGTGTCTGGGGGTGCTGTGTGTTTCTGGGTGCGGTGTGTGTGTGTCTGGGTGCGCTGTGTCTGGGGGTGCTGTGTGTGTCTGGGGATGCTGTAACTTGGGGTGTGTGTGTGTCTGGTGGTGCTGTGTGTGTATCTGGGGGTGCTGTGTGTGTGTCTGGGATGCTGTGTGTGTGTATCTGGGGTGCTGTGTGTGTCTGGGTGCGCTGTGTGTGTCTGGGTGCGCTGTGTGTGTCTGGGGATGCTGTGTGTCTGGGGCTGTGTCTGGGGGTGCTGTGTGTGTCTTGGGGGTGCTGTGTGTGTCTGGGGGTGCTGTGTGTGTCTGGGGGGGCTGTGTCTGGGGGTGCTGTGTGTGTGAATGTATTTTTTATTTAAATTTAAATATTTTTTTTACTAATAAAAAAAATAAAATAATTATTCCCCCCCCCCCTTCTTACCTTTATCCTGGGAGGGGGGGAGGAGATCCGTTATGCCTGGGGGGTGGGGTGCCATGCTGCATTCCCTGGTGGTCCAGTGGTGAGAGTGAACTCTAACCTGCAGGTTAGAGTTCACTCTCGCGAGATCTGAGCGTTGCCGCGGCAACGCTCAGAATCCCGCGAGAGCACCGGTGGAGCTGCTGGTTAGAGCTCCGCCGGGTCCTCTCTCCTCCCTCACCCAGCCGGCGGCCGCATCTCCCTGTCTGTGGGCCGGTGAGGGAAATCTTTGATCTCCCCATCGGCCCACGGAGACACATAGCAGGGCCCCCTGCCGGCCTCTGCCCCACGGCCATCGCGGCCCACCGGGTATTTGCCCGGTATGCCCGATGGCCAGTCCGGGCCTGGCTCTAACATTCAACTCGAAATTCACTTTAAATTCTCAATTTATTGAATAAGCATGTTTGATTGTGCAGCCCTAGCCACACCTCCCCTGGCTGTGACTCAAATAGTCCCCCTACACACTTCCTGGAAAAGAGTCTACATTTTTTAGCTTCCTTATTGCATAGTATCTCCTGCTCAGTAACTCCTGCTCCGTATCTCCTGCTTTGTATCTCCTGCTTTGTATCTCCTGCTCTGTATCTCCTGCCCTGTATCTCCTGCTCAGTAACTCCTGTTCCGTATCTCCTGCTTTGTATCTCCTGCTCTGTATCTCCTGCCCTCTATCTCCTGTTCTGTATCTCCTGCCCTGTATCTCCTACTCTGTATCTCCTGTCCTGTATCTCCTGCTCAGTATCTCCCACTCTGTATCTCCTGCCCTGTATCTCCCGCTCAGTAACACCTGCTCCGTATCTCCTGCTTTGTATCTCCTGCTCTGTATCTCATGCCCTCTATCTCCTGTTCTGTATCTCCTGCCCTCTATCTCCTGCTCTGTATCTCCTGCCCTGTATCTCCTGCTCAGTAACTCCTGCTCCGTATCTCCTGCTTTGTATCTCCTGCTCTGCATCTCATGCCCTCTATCTCCTGTTCTGTATCTCCTGCCCTGTATCTCCTACTCTGTATCTCCTGTCCTGTATCTCCTGCTCAGTATCTCCCACTCTGTATCTCCTGCCCTGTATCTCCCGCTCAGTAACACCTGCTCCGTATCTCCTGCTTTGTATCTCCTGCCCTGTATCTCGCGCTCTGTATCTCCTGCCCTGTATCTCCTGCCCTGTATCTCGCGCTCTGTATCTCCTGCCCTGTATCTTCTGCCCTGTATCTCCTGCTCAGTATCTCCTGCCCTGTATCTCCCGCTCAGTATCTCCTGCCCTGTATCTCCTGCTCAGTATCTCCTGCCCTGTATCTCCCGCGCTGTATCTCCTGCCCTGTATCTCCCGCTCTGTATCTCCTGCCCTGTCTCTCCTGCCTTGTATCTCCTGCCCAGTATCTTCTGTCCTGTATCTCCTGCCATGTATCTCCCACTCTGTATCTCCTGCCATGTATCTCCCACTCAGTATCTCCTGCCCTGTATCTCCCACTCTGTATCTCGCGATCTGTATCTCCCAGTATCTCCTGCCCTGTATCTCGTGCTCTGTATCTCCTGCTTTGTATCTCCCTCTCTGAATCTCCTGCCCTTATCTCATGCCCAGTATCTCCTGCCCAGTATCTCTGCCCTGTATCTCCTGCCCTGTATCTCCCACTCTGTATCTCCTGCCCTGTATCTCCTGCTCAGTATCTCCTGCCCAGTATCTCCTGCCCTGTATCTCCTGCCTTGTATCTCCTGCTCGGAATCTCCTGTCTGCATCTCCTGCCCTGTATCTCCTGCCCAGTATCTCCTGTCCTGTATCTCCTGCCATATATCTCCCACTCAGTATCTCCTGCCATGTATCTCCCACTCTGTATCTCGCGATCTGTATCTCCTGCCCTGTATTTCCCGCTCCGTATCTCCCGCTCAGTATCTCCTGCCCTGTATCTCCTGCCCTGTATCTCCTGCCCAGTATCTCCTGCCCTGTATCTCCTGCTCTGTATCTCCCGCTCAGTATCTCCTGCCCTGTATCTCCCAAACTGTATCTCCTGCCCTGTATCTCGCGCTCTGTATCTCCTGCCCTGTATCTTCTGCCCTGTATCTCCTGCTCAGTATCTCCTGCCCTGTATCTCCCGCTCAGTATCTCCTGCCCTGTATCTCCTGCTCAGTATCTCCTGCCCTGTATCTCCCGCGCTGTATCTCCTGCCCTGTATCTCACGCTCTGTATCTCCTGCCCTGTCTCTCCTGCCTTGTATCTCCTGCCCAGTATCTTCTGTCCTGTATCTCCTGCCATGTATCTCCCACTCTGTATCTCCTGCCATGTATCTCCCACTCAGTATCTCCTGCCCTGTATCTCCCACTCTGTATCTCGCGATCTGTATCTCCCAGTATCTCCTGCCCTGTATCTCGTGCTCTGTATCTCCTGCTTTGTATCTCCCTCTCTGAATCTCCTGCCCTGTATCTCATGCCCAGTATCTCCTGCCCAGTATCTCCTGCCCTGTATCTCCTGCCCTGTATCTCCCACTCTGAATCTCCTGCCCTGTATCTCATGCCCAGTATCTCCTGCCCTGTATCTCCTGCCCTGTATCTCCCACTCTGTATCTCCTGCCCTGTATTTCCCGCTCTGTATCTCCCGCTCAGTATCTCCTGCCCTGTATCTCCTGCCCTGTATCTCCTGCCCAGTATTTCCTGCCCTGTATCTCCTGCTCTGTATCTCCCGCTCAGTATCTCCTGCCCTGTATCTCCCAAACTGTATCTCCTGCCCTGTATCTCCTGCCCTGTATCTCGCGCTCTGTATCTCCTGCCCTGTATCTTCTGCCCTGTATCTCCTGCTCAGTATCTCCTGCCCTTTATCTCCCGCTCAGTATCTCCTGCCCTGTATCTCCTGCTCAGTATCTCCTGCCCTGTATCTCACGCTCTGTATCTCCTGCCCTGTCTCTCCTGCCTTGTATCTCCTGCCCAGTATCTTCTGTCCTATATCTCCTGCCATGTATCTCCCACTCTGTATCTCCTGCCATGTATCTCCCACTCTGTATCTCCTACCCTGTATCTCGCGCTCTGTATCTCCTGCCCTATATGTCCCACTCTGTATCTCCCGCGCTGTATCTCTTGCCTTTTATCTCCCACGCTTTATATCCTGCCCTGTATCTCCTGCCCTGTATCTCGCACTCTGTATCTCCTTCCCTGTATCTCCTGCCATGTATCTCCTGCCCTGTATCTCCTGTCCTGTATCTCCTGCCCTGTATCTCCTGCTCAGTATCTCCTGCCCTGTATCTCCCACTCTGTATCTTCTGCGCGATCATCAGAGACCTAAACTGATATTGCCAGTAACATTATTACCACTCAGGGGCGTACCTAGAGCATTTGGCACCCGGGGCGGGTCCTGTGCTTGACACCCCCTTGCCCCCCCCAAAAGCCCCGCCGCCAGTGCCAGTTTGGCTCCGCCTCCGATTTTGATTAGCTCCGCCCAACTTTTCCTCCGTGCACCCTAACTACCATGGGGCACTGTGCGGCCACAGCTCACACAGCCCCC